ATTTCTAAACTGTATTTAGGAGAGTTGCCATGTGCTTAAAAAAATTGAATTCAAATTAATTCATCAGTTAATTGAAATATGTATAACAATGCCAGGCGAAAAATTTTAGATTGAAAATACTTTTAAAGGGGTTGCCACCTGTTTGAAAAGTCGAATTTGTTTTACTTATACGAAAGATACATAAATGAAATATCGAAATATTAGTGTCAAACGAAAGAGTTTTAAGAAAAGTATAGGCTGATAATAATTTTAATTAGAGTTGCCATCTATTTTTTTTGAAGGTCATCAGATCTGCACCGTTATTTCGAATTTCCAAAATGAGAAGTCGAATTAAAGAACTGGGATTCTACATAGATGTGCACAGGTTTTATTTTTTGAAGTTACAGTGAGATTTGAAATTTGATGAAGTGGAAACCGANGAAAGAGCTTCAAGAAATACTTAGTTCGACAACTTTGAACATTTCTGATGTGTTTGAGGGTTGTCCCAGTTTAAAGGGCTAAACTAAAATTATTTAATAAGTTAAATGAATTACTAACCGATGGTTATCAATGGAAAGGGGTTTAAAATCCTTTATTTAAGAGCCAAATTTCCACTTAATTCATCAGTGACGTGGAATATTGATAACAATGTCAGACAAAAAATATTAAGGAAATTTTAGTTTGAAAATAACTTTTTAAGAGGGTTTCCGCCTGTTTTGAAAGTGGTATTTCGTTTAATTATACATAAGTTACATGAAATTTTAAAATAGGGTTATCAAAAGAACGAGTGTTAAGAAATCTTTAAGCTGAACATTTGGTTTTTTTTTTGTTGAACAAATTAAGCTCAAATTATTTACTAAGTTAAATGGATTGTCAAAAGAAGGGTATCAATCAAAATGGATTTGAAATTAATTTATTTCTAAACTGTATTTAGGAGAGTTGCCATGTGCTTAAAAAAATTGAATTCAAATTAATTCATCAGTTAATTGAAATATGTATAACAATGCCAGGCGAAAAATTTTAGATTGAAAATACTTTTAAAGGGGTTGCCACCTGTTTGAAAAGTCGAATTTGTTTTACTTATACGAAAGATACATAAATGAAATATCGAAATATTAGTGTCAAACGAAAGAGTTTTAAGAAAAGTATAGGCTGATAATAATTTTAATTAGAGTTGCCATCTATTTTTTTTGAAGGTCATCAGATCTGCACCGTTATTTCGAATTTCCAAAATGAGAAGTCGAATTAAAGAACTGGGATTCTACATAGATGTGCACAGGTTTTATTTTTTGAAGTTACAGTGAGATTTGAAATTTGATGAAGTGGAAACCGAACCCATGCGAAACCTCTCATCACTGTGAAATTGTTTAGATTAATCATTAGGAATATTTTTAGAAGTTTTTGAATAGGGTTTCACCTGTTTAAACAATTTAATTGAATGATGCCGTTTTGACGCCATGCGGGTTCACTAGTAGGACTTAAATTACGTAAGGATGAAAAAAAGTACGAATTTGTTTCACAGTATTTTTTCTTGCTGGAATATATGCAAATTCATTAATGTACTATGTGCTTATGTGGTGCTAGAAAGCGTAAAATATCGTATCTTTTGCAAATATTTGTTGCCTTATTTTTTATTTAATAACAAAATTGCCCTTTTCTTTTAGGCGAAGAAACAAAAATAAAAAGCAAAAGATAACAAATTCATGCAACTTATGCATATACAAGTATAGACATATGTACATACCTACATACACATAAACGTACACGCATACATACATACATATATTTCATATTCATGATGTTCGTGTCTGTAAATACTAATCCCATTACGACAAAATGAAGCAGAAATTGGTTTGAATAGCTGAATTCGAAATTATTGGANCATCATGCGAGACCTCTCATCACTGTGAAATTGTTTAGATTAACCATTAGGAGTATTTTTAGAAGTTTTTGAATAGGGTTTCACCTGTTTAAACAATTTAATTGAATGATGCCGTTTTGACGCCATGCGGGTTCACTAATAGGACTTAAATTACGTAATGATGAAAAAAAGTACGAATTTGTTTCACAGTAATTTTTCTTGCTGGAATATATGCAAATTCATTAAAGTACTATGTGCTTACGTGGTGCTAGAAAGCGTAAAATATCATATCTTTTGCAAATATTTGTTGCCTTATTTTTTATTCAATAACAAAATTGCCCTTTTCTTTTAGGCGAAGAAACAAAAATAAAAAGCAAAAGATAACAAATTTATGCAACTTATGCATATATAAGTATAGACATATGTACATACCTACATACACATAAACGTACACGCATACATACATACATATATTTCATATTCATGATGTTCGTGTCCCATTCGCTCTGTAAATCCTAATCCCATTACCACAAAATGAAGCAGAAATTGGTTTGAATAGCTGAATTCGAAATTATTGGAGTTTTTTGAAAATAATTTGGATTGCTTCAAATTAGAAAATATTGAAGACCATTACAGCCAAGTGTTTCCGCCAAAAATGGTTAATAATAGTAATAATAGATTGGCACTTACACATATGGTAGGGTTTGGCCGAGCTTCTCCTCCGATTTGTGGTGTGCGCCTTGATGTTGTCAAACAAAGGGGAGGGACCTACAGTTTTACATATTTTTATGACAAACTGTTTTTCATGGCTGAAATACACTCGCCTTATTTTATAAATATTTATTTTTGCGATGTTCCTATGAATAGGGCTTGAACCCAGGCACTGCAGAGTGGAAGCGCGCACTGCCAACCACTACACCACAGCGGCCGCCAAATATGCNGTATTTTTATGAGAAACTATTTTTCATGGCAGAAATACACTCGCCTTATTTTATAAATATTTATTTTTGCGATGTTCCTA